TATAGAAGACAAAATGGTAGTGAGCAAAATATTGATCGTTTTCAAAGTAATTCAGGACAACATCCCCGTAATAATAAATATTATTATTCACAAAATAGTTCCAGACGATACTCCCAAAGAAATATAAACTTTTCAGGGCAAAATAATTATCACCCAAATAACCCCCCAGACAAAATAATCCTGTAAATTCAGGTCAAAATAATCAATATCGTAGTAATAATAATAACGGTTACGGTAATTCTGCATGGCAACCTGTACAGAATGGCACTCGGCAATCAAGACGCTCAAATGTCCAACACCCATGGAGGTTGACACTATGAGTAGAACAGAGGAAACAAATAACAACGAGGATTTTTTTACCAATTAGCCTCAGAAAATCAAAATAAAATTTTAATTTCACTCTCTCTATTTAATAAGAAATGGTGTGCATTAGTAGACCCAGGCTCTACCATAAGCATAATGAAAAGAGCGAGTTTCGAAAAGTAAAATTTGCCAGTTTTAGAAAAAAATAAAACAATAATCGGTACACTGAATGGAGAAATAAAGGCGATGAACGAAAGAGTTAAGACACCATGCCCACTAGAATTTAGATATCCTCAAAATGCAAGAATGCGATGGTTAAAAATGGATTATAACAAGCCATACGACCTTATACTGGGGAATGATTTTATATTTAAAAATGTGAAAACGATAAACATTGAAAACAAAGAAATGGCATTGAGAAATGGTGTCAAGATTCCATTCCATACGAAAATTATGCAGGAGCAAGTTTATTCGTTGGTAGAAAGTGAAGTTAGTAACATTCAACTCGACCATTTAAACCCAGAAGAAAAGATAAAATTAAGTAAACTATTAAAAAAGTATGAAAAGCTAATTTATAAAGAAGGAGATGATCTGACAAACACGAATACCGTTGTTCATGAAATTAGAACAACGGATCAGCAAATTAATTCCCGAAATTACAGATTGGCCCCCAAACATGCGGACAAATTGAAGAAATGGAAAAGCAAGGAATAAGAAAAAGTCGAAGCAAATACAGCTCACCAATAATAATTGTGCCAAAGAAATCAGATAGCTCCGGTATAAAAAATTTCGATTAGTGGTTGATTACAGGAGGTTAAACCAAATTACTAATGACGATAATTATCCCCTGCCAAATATTGATGGAATTTTAGATAAATTGGCCAAAACTTTAGCACCATAGATCTAGCTAAAGGTTTCCATCAGATCCTAATGGCAGAGAAGGATATAGGGAAAACAGCTTTTGTGACTCCAGCAGGCCTGTATGAATACGTCAGGATGCCTTTTGGGCTTAAAACTGCTTCAGCCACTTTTCAGAGATTAATGAACGACAGCATATTAATAAAATATGTGTAGTCTATCTAGATGACATATTATTATTTTCTACGTCATTAGAAGAACACATACATTCACTAGGAAAAATTTTTTCAAAACTTCAGGAAGACCGACAGGACATAATTAGGCATTTAGAAATAATAGAGGGGAATACTCACAACGCAATAGGAAATATAAATAAACAGATCTTAATAAATGAGCATTTTAATGACTCAATTAACCTAATGAAAACAATAATAGAAAAGGACAGGATTAAAATTTTAAAAGAATTAAATCAGGAAAATATAGAGTTAGCGAAATTGGTGCTGTACAATAATCAAATAAGCAAACTAAGGTTTATTGAAAGTAAAATTCACGAAATTCAGGATAATATAGCTACGGTAAAAACAATTTGATACATCCCGGAATGTTAACAAAAGAAGAAATAGATGGGTTCGATATTGATATCTATAAATTGAAATTAACCAAAATAAGAGTTGTGGTCTACAAAGAAGAAGCATTAATATTCGCTATACAAATCACAAGAAGTTTTTTTAAAGAAAATGTAAAATTAATTACGCCTCTACCTAATAAACAAAACTTGCAAATAAATCAAGAGGATGAATTAATTGTAATAATCAATAAAGAACACTATGTCTAACAATATATATGTATAAAAATATAACATTAATTCAAGAAATAAGTGATGAGACTTTAATAATAAAGAATGCATATAATGAAAGTCTCATTCAGACTTGTGATGAAAGAAACTTCATATTACAAAATAATTATATTATAAATTATGCAAATTGTAAAATAAAGATTAATCACGAAAGTTTTAATAACAACAAAACCAAATTTATTGAGAAACTTGTGCATCCTGTGAGGATGTTGAATCAAACTTATGAAACAAAAATAAGCTTTGATAAAATAGTACTAAATAATTTTAAAAAATATCAGAGAAATAGAAGAGTTAAAATATCATAAGAACATAACTTATGTCATTAGCGCCACCGTAATTATTGTATAATTACATTAATAAGTCTAACTATTGTTATTCTCATTTTAAGAAAAAATAATAACAATGTAAGTTTTAAAATTATAAATAAAAGAAGTCAGGAGACTTCTCAGAGTGGCTCTGGGGGAGTTATGTATAATGACGGCATGCACTGCACCACATCGCATGATCTGCCAGTACGTGACTCAAACAGCAGACTCAGCATATTTTGAGCTTGCTGGAATGTGCGGTACAGCCGGACATAGCATCAAGCTCGAGTTGCCGATCTGGTGTGAAGCCAGTCTGATTTGAGAGACAACACAAACGAGTTGTGTGTTTTAATTGTATAATTGCTTTTCTACTAAATATATAATTCGTGAGTCGCGTCAAGCTGTCATGTTATTATTGTTCAGTATAGTGTGGCATTTCATCATGGAAAGACTTACGCCTGAACCAGAGATAAAGAGATTCCCAACTCATATCTCATTGGAAATGAGAGAGAAACGTCAAAACTAACAGATCTCAGCCAACTGTCAAAGGCCAGATTGAAATCCTACCAAAAAATGTGAACAGAGAGACTTGTTGCCGCTGTTAAAGATCACTAACAAAAATTAGAAAACAATAAAAATTAAAGAAAACTCGAAATTGAAATGTATTTGATGTCTTTTGTGATGCCATGCTACGTTGAAATAATTTTCAATTGAAGATGATAAAAATATTTATAAATTGAGAGCTAATATATTTATGCATTCGATTAAGTATTCAAAATTCAAAAATCAGTTTTTTTAATATATCACAAAATCTTAATTAATGTTGGGTATTTTAATTTAAATGCCCAAAAACTATTACTTGGTCCGATATGGCTACAATGGAAAATGTTATAAAAAAAAACGCTAATTTTGAGGCGCTCTTACACTGGAATAAATTGGGCATCCTTTTATCCCTGCCTGAATAACGTTTACAAATTGTTTAACTTTATACAACCAAATAGCGCCACTTTCCACACATCGCATCAATCAATGAATGAATATATTATATGATATATAATAAATATACAATGAACTACTGTTGTCAATTTTATTAATAATTTATTTCGAAAATTTTCATAAAGATATTTTCCCAAAAAAAAATTGGATAAGTAGTTTTCTTTTCTAAGAGAGTACTCCTGAATAACACTCTAAAGAACATAATTGAACCAATCTGACATAAGAAAAATCAAACCATTGAAATAAGGTAGGTACGAATGGAGAATAAGATATTGCAAACTTGCTTAAAAAATACATCACTGTAACAAGTAAGGAAGGGCTAAGTTCGGATGTAACCGAACATTTTATACTCTCGCAAAGTCAAATGGTATACTCGTTTGAGATTTCTTTGTGGATTAACTGATATTTTCGGTAGAAGGTCAACTATAGGCACTGGGGTCCACATATTTAGTACTTAGGGGCTTGAACAGTTTTCGTTCGATTTAGACAACTTTTGGTCACAAGGTGGCATACTTTAAACGCATTATTCACGCAAAGTTTCACCCCGATACATTCATTGTTGCTTGATATGCATGGTGGAAAATGAAAGAATCAGATGGAATGAAAATGGTTATATGGGAAATATGCGTGGTTGTAGTCCGATTTCGCCCATTTTCGCACTATAACATAGAAATATGGAAGGAACGTTATGCGCCGAATTTGGTTGAAATCGGTTAAGCGGATCCCAAGATATGGCTTTTCACCTAAAAGTGGGCTGTGCCACGCCAACTGTCTAATTTTGAACGCGGTTCCTATAAAGTCCTCTCATACCATCCCAGAGATAAAATTTAATGTCTCTGGCGTGTTTAGTGCTTAGTTTATCGTGCTTTTAGTATATTTTAACAGTACCGTTATATGGGGTGTGGGCGGAGTTGCCACCTGATTTCAACTAGTTTCACACTGTAGGTAGAGGTTCTAAAAACATTTGCTTCCAGTGAACTTTTTTATTATAGAATTAGCGGTTTAGGAGATATGCACATTAAACCTATTAGGGGCGGGACCACGCCCAGTTTAAAAAAAAATGTTAAGTGCAGATGCCCCTCCATAATGAGATCCTGTATACCAAATAACAGTCTTGTATCTTCCTGCGGAGCTTAGTTATGGCAATTTTTTTGTTTTTGATTAATGGCGTTTTGTGGGTGTGGCAGTGGTCCCACCAACCGTCTCACAGTACCAAGAAACATGTCTACCAAGTTTCATAAAGATATCTCAATTTTTACTCAAGTTAGAGCTTGCACGGACGGACGGACAGACAGTCACCCCGATTTCAACTCGTCTCTTCATCCGGATCATTTATATATATATAACCCTATATCTAACTCGATTGGTTTTAAGTGATAGAAACAACCGTTAGGTGAACAAAACTATTATACTCTGTAGCAACAGGTTGCGAGAGTATAAAAAGTAATTGAATTACCTAACTAAAAAACTAAAACTTTTAAACGATTATATTTAAATTTTGAATCTCTTAACGCAACAAAAGAGTTCATTCCTTACAAAGAAATGCAAAGTGAGATTGGATAATTCATCCCAAAGTCAGAATTATCAAGGTTTTTCATTAAACATTAATTGCAAATTTTAAAACTAAAATAAGTTTTATTCCTGAAAAAATTGTTAAAACTATTGGACACATTGCCACTAACCTGATCGCATATTATGTCCCATTTTTTTTCATCATCATAATTCTTGAGCAATTTCGCTTTGTCCGGAGGTAAGTCCATGGAAGCCTGAAAAAAAGGAAAATATTAATATTTTTATTAAAAACATGAAAAAATGTCCAATACAATAATTTAAAAGACGAAATGAAGAGGATGTTATTTCAAAATCAAAACATAATAGTTTACCTTAAAAGAAGTATTCACCCATATTTGTAAGATAATATAGCGGCTCCAAATTCAATAAATATAAATATAATAGCTTACCCGACAGACGTGTTAGGATAGTTATTTAGGTTAGGAAAATTTTATGAAGAATTATGTAAAATATGGATTTCGAAACAGTAAAAAATTTCAAAATAAATAGTGCATTCAGATATGTATCGTATAGAGTAGCATAGCAGTATGATTATTAAGATACTATACACCATACACATGTCTACAATCCTCATAGTTTAAACTATACTTATGCTATCTTAGAATCTGATCTCATCGCCATCTACTAGGCGATTATCATCTCTATTTAAAACGTTCTAACATCAACAACAATTTATAAATAAATAAAAAATTATCTTCGAATTGTGAATCTAAACCATTCTCAAACCCCCTTGAATACACACAAAAATTTCATCAGAATCGGTCCAGCCGTTAGAAGTTCAATTACAAATACACGTACAGTATATTTCTATATACATATACATTTATGTATATAAGTACTGTAGATAATAAAAGTAAAAATTTATATAAGTTGCCACTTCGCTTATGTTTTAAAGTTTGAAATTATAAACTGTCTAATAACTATTTATTTTAAAAGCACTCTTGTATATACTCGTATGCGTTACATTTTTTTCGAGCCGGAATGCATAAAAATATGTGGACAGGAATAATTAAATATGAATAATTGCATAAGAACTATTTATTTGTGGCTATAAAATATTCTTTGTTAGGAGAATTTTTATTACTTTGCCTAGTTACCGATATGTACAGTGCATACATAAGTATATAAATGGACACATGACTTAACACTTACAATGTAAAGCTTTTCTCATAACGTCTTTTCTGCAGCTTTAAGAAAAATAACAAACAAATATTTATTTAACAACATTTGCATATTGAACCAATTGTACCGTAAGGAATTTTGCTTGTTAGTTTGCAAAAATAAATATTTACGGTTATGTAAACTAAGTATTAATGTTGATTACGCTGACAATTTTTATTACACGCAAGTGAGTTTTTTTAAGACTGCTTAGTGCCGTTTCACACAGGAACTCAAGAGAGTCTCATACCAATTTATTGTGGGCGAGGGGACGACGAGGAAAGACGAAGGGACCGTGCCACTCGTGTTCGGGTGGCACGCTTTGTGTTCTTGTTCGTAACAGCTCGCTGCTACCCTTTTCAGCATTCCTTTTCACTTTCAAATTCTTTGAATGGTTGCAAGAGCGCTCGGTTTCAAATGAATTCGATCGCAAATTTGAGTTCTGTTATCTATTTTTGTATGTAATATGCAAATACGTATGCATAGAATAATAGAAATATAATATTATGACAAATTGTAAATAAGGAGAAAATTAAGATATAGATTATGGAGTAAAGAAATTATGAATTTTTAATACGGAGTAAAGAAATTATTAGTTTTTGATACTTAAAGATTAGGAAATTCCTATTATAAATTTGGCCTTGAAAATATTAGTAGCGGATATTCAATACATTCTTGTGGATTAGGAAATTCCCGTCTTTAGTATTTCTTTAAAACTATTTAGCGGGTAGGTACTTGTATTATGCATATTGTTCTACCATATTCATGGTAATTCATTGCAAGCAAAATGTGTGACCATCATCTCAACATACAAATGAAATACGCAGCACGCAGTGTTGCGCAGTCGAACCGCACAAATATTTACGAAAATTTTGTGAAAAAGAATGCAGAAAAACTAGACTCGAGTTACTGGACTCTTTTTGACCGTGTGAATGCCCAGAGCGACACCAAAAGAAAATTTGAAAAACATCAGACTCTTTTGAATCCCAATGTGAAACGGCACTTATGCAGTAGTAGTAAATCACTTTGAATAATCTAACGACACATGATTCAGTTTTTAGACATTAGTTGTTAGTAAAACCGGTTGAAGTAAATATCAAGATACCCGCGTTTTAATTCAGATTTATGAAAATATTTGCCATAGTAAACACGTAGAAAAACCTTAAAGGAATGTAGAAAGTTGGGAGCTAAAAATACTTATCATAACATTTAAGAAAGATATAAGAAACTCATGAAAGTGCTCTTAAAATGTTTCAAGTAGTTATATTAATCGAATATTCGATTTTATTATGCATCTATATTTGTGCAAGTACAGCTTTACGAGAGAATATCGTCTACCCGCCTGAAAAAATTGTGTTGTAGTAAGAAGAACTGTCAAAATCAGTAAACTGATCAAGAGCAGTTGTCTTTAAGGAAAATAAGTGTACTTTATTTATTATTTATTTACGAAATCGTTGCTCTTTAAAGAATATTAAATATTTCATTAAGAATTTGCCAACATAAACCCGCTTGGAAATCTGGGCCAATCTGCAGAAATATAATAATTTCACGACCGACGTACAAATGTATTCAATTCTACTAAACATAAATATTTTAAATTCTAATAACCGTTGTTGTTTTCCATTTGTTTTCATTCAAGTTTACAATTTATGTAAAAAATTTAAGCTGTGCTGCCAAATACTGTCCAAATCCTTCTCAAAGATTATACTCAGGTTTTTTATCTGCGTTCTCAAGAAGACTGCCTTCTATAGCCTTCTGAATATTATAATCTTGTTTCAATCCATTATCTTTCCTCAATAGGGGTGTTAGTATAGAGTTCGCAAACTGTGGATGGCAATATCGATAGTCTTGAACAATCGCGACTATCGATGTGTATGCCAGACTATCGATAGTATTTAAAATAATTTTTCTTTCTTATCTTAATATTAATTATCGTACGTTTGGTATTAAATAATACCTATGTAGTGAGATTGTCATTTCCTTCAATACCTTTTATTTTTACAAATTGGCAACATTGTTTATTAACGTCAAATTGAAGCTGAAGTGCGCCAATTTTTAATTCAGTTTATTCGATAGAAACTTCAATTATGGACATATTTTTAACCACAGTAACAAAAGATAATGTGTGCAAATGTACATATATGTTTTTACTAATTAATTTGCATTTTTTGTTGAAGTAGATTAAGTCATCAGCCTTTGTCTTGAATCTTTCGAAGAGTCGTGCTAATGTTTGACGTGTGACGAAGATCTTGTGGGTAAAAAGTATGCAAACCGAAAGAATGGAATTTCTAAACTTTGGAAGTACTTTAGGAAGTTCGGAAATGAAAGGTTTGCGTAATGTCTGCAGAGTGGTAAAGAATATAAGACAAGCGGGAACAAAAGCAATCTTCTTGACCACCTCAATCGATTTCATCCAAATATAGAGAAGGACGAAGAAGAAGACATTTCGCAAAATACTCGCCAATCTAGTCTTAGGTGAATTCAAATTAAAGAAAGCAAGTGAGCAATTTATTGAAATGAAATGAAATGCCGTGGCAGACAGTATAAAAAAAATTCGAAAAGGAAAGCGGACATTGATTCCGCATTGGTTAAATTGGTTTCACAAGTTTTTCACGCATCCAACATCGTTTCGAATAGTGGTTTTCCGCATTTCGAGACAATTTTAGATCCTAGATATGTCTTACCTAGCCATAATCATTTCCGTGATACATATATATTTTAAAAATCATTATATGAATTTAAGAAAAAATTGGAGAATATGTTGCAAGATATTTCTTATGTCGCCTTGACGACGGTAATGACAGCTAACAAGATAATCCAGAACTTGAAATAATTTTAAGAAAATGCAAAGCCATAGTGACATATTTTAAAAATAGCACGATAACGTATGATAAATTTGAACTGGCGCAAAAAACTGCACCAACACCAGTAACACCAACTCGATGGAATAGTACTTATTTTATGATTAAACTATTATACTACCAAAGATGCCATGGTGCAGGTGCTTTTGGAAACTAAGAAAGGTTCCGCACTACTTGCAGCAAATGAAATATCCGTTAAAGCAAAAGTTGAACAATATAAAAGTTTCATTAACATCATCTGCTTATGAATCGAGAACACCATCACGGATAGGTACATTACCCGACCCTCGATTCAAAAAAGAAGGATTCGAATCTACCTCTAATGCACAACAATCTGTTATCTGTTTAGAGGTAAGACCAATTATATTTTCAGTTCAGTTCAGGCGATGAATTTTATGCAATAAAAGATTGCGTGTCTAAATATTTGTTATATTCTGTTATCTATTTTTGTATGTAATATGCAAATACGTATGCATAGAAATATTTGTGTATCCCAGCAACATCTGTGGAATCGAACGCATTTTTAGCAAGCGTGGAGGACAGTTTACAGACCGAAGAACGCGCTTAAAAGCCAAAAATGTTAATATACTAATTTTTTGTAACGGAAACTATTGAATTAATCAAAAATAAATAATAATTATTTTTTGTAATACGTCGCTGTAATACGCTTAATAACTTAAATTTTAATTTCATTGATTTCCATTGTAAGAAGAAGAAAGTATACTATCGATGGTAAGTGATCATACTATCGCTCCCTATCAATGGTTGTTACTATCGATTGTTAGCGAACTCTATGTTAGTATACAAATAGTTTCAGAACTTCGATTATTCGCAAAATCGTTGTAGTATATGAAATATAAATATATAAAATATAAAGCATACTTTGAAAAATTATGCAGCATATTCGAAAAACATAAAACAATACTATGTGAGCAGGTTTGCAAATAATGCATAAAAACAAGAAAAAACGTTAACTTCGATTGCACCGAAGATGTAATAACCTTCACAGATACAAAGATTCCTTACAATTACTTGATAAATAAAAAAGTTTTCCATGTAGGCACTTTACTCCGATCGTTCAGTTAATATGGCAGCTATATGTTATAGCCATCCGATCTGTACAATATATAAATAATAATAAACCTCGTCAAATGAAACAGTTTTCCATACAAGTAC